AAAATAAAAATAAAGGGACACTCTGAGAGAGGCAGCTCAGTCAGACTGGCGTCAGCTTTCCAATCCAATCAAAAGTGTCATGTTCTACTGATCTGCCTCAGTGGGGAGCCAAACGCCTCACGTCTCCCTTTCCTTTGAAACAGCCACTGCTAAACCTCCCCTCAACAGCTGTCCTTACCTTTTCCTTGTCGCTGGCTTCTCTGGCCACGGTTGAACCCTGGAGCGTTTTAGAAACAAAAAAGGGGGGGGGGGGGATGGGAAGACTCGTTTCAGAGGCGAGGACGGTCAACGTTAAAGACAAAATCCCGGCCCCGAGTCCCACTTAACGGAGGGCTTTCTGTGTGGCCACCAGTATTTTTTTCTGTCAGTTGCCCCAGGCTCCTGGTACCCTTTCTTTGCAGGGATGTTGCGCCCGATGAGGATTTTTCCCCAGGCCAGCTTGGCCAGGGATCCTGGAGGTTTTTTGTCATCTTCTGGGCATGGAACAGCGGTCACTGGGGTGAGTGTGTGTGGGGGGAGGTATTTGTGAATTTCCTGCATTGTGCAGGGGGTTGGACTAGATGACCCTGGAGGTCCCTTCCAACGCTATGATTGTATCATTCTATGTGAGCTGCCCAGGTCCTTTCCTCATTCCAGAGGTCAACCAGGGCATTGACAGAAGCACCAACCCTATCAACAGGAAAATCCCCTAGGAGATGGCTGGAACCGATTGACACAGCTATCCTTCTTTTTATTATTATTTTTTGTATAACATTTTTCAAATTATTTTAACATTATACATAACTGTCTTTCACATATATACATTTCCTTCATAAAAGAATCTTCCCGCAGACAAGCTTGTAAAACCAATTTAGGCCATTCAAATATTTTTTATCCACTTATACAGTTTTGACCAAGTATTCTCGAAACATTTTTCATCCTTCCCTTTTAAAAATAACGTTAGTTTGTTCATCTCAACCACATTTAGTAGTTTATATATCATTTCTTCACAGGTATCCTTCTAGGAGAGGCATTCCTTACGGCCTCCACCACACCACTGTTATATGGGGGAAATGTGACACTCGCCCTCGTCAACAGTCACAAAAACCAGGAGGCGAACGTCCGTGTCCCTGGGCCATTGGCTTCTGTGTATGGAGGAGGACTGTTTCCCCCAGGCCCTGGTTTCCAGCTGGCTGGCCTCTGCCGAAGACAGGATGCTGGACTGGAAGGACTCTGGTCTGCCTGGCCAAGGCAGGTGCAGCCACAGCAGTATCAAAAATGGCTGCTCGAGTGACATGCAGAACAACCCTACACACGTTTTCCCTAAGGAGCCTACTTATCGTGGAGTTCAGTGGGACTGATTCTTTCACCTCTGGCACTCCCAGGTGGTTGCCCGAGACAGAATTAGTGAACACGCATGCTAAGGAAGTGCCTCTGGTCCCCAGGAAGGGAGAGAAGCCGGTTGTCAGAGCACGCCCCCCCCACCCCCACCCCACGGCCACGCGCTCCCAGCCCTCACCTTGAGATCGTATTTCCGATGCACGGTCAGCCGGTGGCTAAACACGTTCCTGGTAACTACCATGTAGGTTTCCACGCCATCCACAGTGAGCCTGTACATGCCGAGGAACTGAGGGAGAAGCGTGTTTCCGTGACATTCCACAATGAACTGGGAAGGGGCGGGCACACAGAGAGAAGGATGACAAACAGTCAGTGTGAGGCTGCACCCAAAAGTGAAACGAAGGTTACAGGGCCTCCCCAATTTTGCAGGAAGGTTGCAGATTTCTTCTTTTTTAAAAAATGTGAACATTTCAAAACAGTATTTGGAAACCAGGCTCATTTCTGAAAAGGACAAGCCAATGGGAAGCAACCTCTCCAGGTGGAGATGGGTGTTAGGCTGCCAGATGTGCACACCTGATCACAATGGCTTTGCGCGAGACCTCCCAAAGAGAGAGCGGGGCCTGGAGCAGTGAACAGAGGGGGCCTCCGTCCATTTGCCCCACTGCAGAGGGCTGAAGGCCAAACCAGAGACAGCTAGGAGATCTGTGCTCTGATTCCCCCCCCCCGCCTCGATCACGAACTTTATTTAAAGGGGAGGCCAAGTATTCTGGGGTCAACTGCAGT